CGTCACCGCCTGGCCCACGTCGCCGCCCGGCAGCGGCAGGCCAGGCACCCTGTTCCACTCGACGCCGTCGGCCGGGGTTGGTCGGAAGAGAATCGGTACGAGGGCAGGCGGGCCGCGCCGCGAGCGGTCTCGCGCCGCCGGCGGCTTCGGCGTGGCAGGCGAGTGGCTCAGTTCCGCAGATTCTACTCGCCGCCCGACCGTCTTGGGTGCCACTACCTGACGCTGTCGGCTCGCCGGCCGCTGTGGGAGGCGTTCCGCTGTCTTCTCAACGGTGTCCAGCTTGTCCAGAGTAGGGGAGAGCCTCGCAACCGCCTTACCTCCCGGCACATCGCTGGCGGCGTGTTGCAGCTCACTCAGATCCTCGGTGGTGATCACCCGGTGTAGCAGCTCAAAGTAGCGACACTTCCAGCGCGGCAGGCGGCCGCGGCACACGTTGCGGTACACGCACAGCAGGTTGTGCACCTTGTTCTTACACTGCTCGCCACTTCGTACGAACCCGCGGTGCCACAGTTGGTCGGCCACGTGCTCCCAGATCCAGCGATTGCGCACATTACTCCGCAGCGCCATCTGCATATGCGCCTGGCGCCATATGTCGAGCAGCTCCAGCGTCTCGAGCTCTTCCCAGATCGGCGAGCCGCCCATCGTGCCGCCTCGCTCGCGCCTCGCGTCGCCCGATCGCCGCCTCGCCTCGCCTCACTGGCCGCTCGCGCCCGGTTCTCGCCCGGCTCGAGCCGCGCCGCCGCTCGAGGACCGCCTCGGCCGGGCGCTGCGGGCCGGATGAGACGGGCCTAGGACGCGCGGACGCTAGCTCACCGGGCCGGCACGGGGAGGGAAACCAGTTGTGCGCTGCAGCAAGGCGGGCGTCTTGAAACCGGTGGTCATTGGTCGCGCCGCTCAGAAAGCTGAACGAGGCAAGTACGCAGTGCAACCAGACTGACGGTGCGCGCAATCTCCTTCCTGTCTTTCACCTGCCGATCTGTCAGTGATGGTCCTCACAGCTCCTGGACCTGCTTCAGCTTCCTGGGTTTCACCCGCCGGTCTGACGACCAACGAAACTATACCTAGGACAGTGGTCGAGAAGTCTTTTCACGAGCATCTTATTCCAGACAAACCGCACAGGGGTCGGGGTATCAATTCAGTTTTGAGACGCCGGGACATAACACATCGGTAACAAACAAACGCCAGAATATTACACGTAGGTAAAAGACACTGGAATAAAAGACATCGGTAACAAACAAACACCGTAATATTACATGTCCGTAACAAGCAAATACCTTGATATTACACATTGGTAACGAACACCGGAATATTACACAGTGGTAACAAACATCGGAATAATAGACATCGGTAACAAATACACACCGGAATGTTACACATCGGTAACAAGCAAACACCTGAATATTTCACATCGGTAACAAACACCGGAATTTTACATATCGGTAACAAACACCAGAATATTACACATCGGTAACAACCATGCACCGCAATATTCCACGACGGTGGTGGGTGACACCATGGTCGGTTGTGGAGCCGGTGGTAGGCCGCTGAGAGGGATGGGATTGACAGAAGACGCGGGGGCAATGGCTCTGATACGGATTCATTGCGGTCATTCATGATCCATTACAGTGCAGGGGCTGTGATCACTTGCCGATCAATGATTGCTACATTACCATGCTTCGGGAGAAGGACCTCATGACGTGGTGGCTGAGAGGCGAATCTGGTGGTTGTCACGATCGTACGTTTGCAGAGTCCTACCGACTTCTTCAAAAACTCCACCAACTGCATGCAACGCTACAGCAGCATACAAAGATGGCATAGTATATATATATATATATATATATATATATATATATATATGTATATATATATATACACTTGTCATTGAGACAACAATTTTAGGCAAGTTCTTGCGGGGGCGAGTTTGTACCGATGCCTGGCAAAGCATGGTTCCTCAATCACTTTAGATCGAGGCACAGTCTCCGGCTGATTAGAATGAGCTATTCGAGGAATCGCTTTTGAATCCAATGGGTAGAAAGTTGCGTTTTATTAGCTGTGATGACTTTGTAGATCTCTGGTCGTAGAATAAGTCTTATGAGTGGCGACCACCTAGTAGCGGTACTTTATCATGACAGCGTTCTTGCCAACGTTGCAGTGACGGGTAGTTGCAGTGACAGGTAAGACCCAAAAGTGGCAATATGTCGATTGTTGTGATTTATTTTAGTTGAGATGCAGACTTTGCGAATAAGCAGCTTTTGCCTTTCATGTGTAAAATGAATCACAGAACTTGTGGTCTAAAAACATCGGAGAACATTTACCCATCCCTGAGGCATTTTGCCGAGCGGCCATGGAAACATGTTTGGCTGAAATGAGATGTAAAATTCGGTGTTGTCAGGGATTACGCAGAGGATCATCAAATTAATATTAATTGGCAGGGGTGGACTGGCTTTGTCATGTTGCAGGAGTGTCGAATAGCAAATATGTTGAATGCCACCAACTCTTCCAATGGTTGGATTGCCTTTTCAAGACGCAAGCCACCGTCATGTAATTGTATCCCAGTCTTACGCTATACGCCGTGAAAAATGAGAAAAAACTTGGACACTAACGACGAAGTATCGTGCCACGTGTCTTCAATGATGAAGACTTGTCTATTTAAGGAATGCTACGAAATCATTCAAACCATGTTTTCTCCCACAACCACTGGATGTAAACAACGTTGTTGGCATTACTTGGTTCTTGCCTCTGTATTTGATGCAGAGGATTACATCGCACGAATTGATAGCATACATATGCACCATATAACACGTGTGGCGGAACGCAGTGGATGCACTGAAGATGGAGGTTCAAATCATGAAGCCAAATCGGGGACATTTTCCTTTTTTGCCTGATAACGCTTTCGGTGTAATAAGACAACAAAAGGTATTATGATGTAGAGACTTTTATAAACAACATAAAACAAAAACACAAACATAAGCAATTGTATAGTAATAACATAAAATAAACAAACGATGCAAATTATCAAACTCTTTTTGCGAGGCTCACTGTCAGTTGAGCACCGTACTCTCAGGAGCGTTGTCCTAATCAGCAATTAATAATGTATTTTTAGTATTGATCTTACAGCAACGTCTTGTTTGTAACACATTACACTTGCTGTTTCATATGTCTATGCCCGACTGACTGTTCAACTTTTCGCATCATGCTGTCAGTGTTGTCCGTTTGTAATTGTATGTGCCCGAAAAAAACGGCCTAAAAAGGCCGCATTTTTTGCAGAGGGGTCAATGGCCCCATTTAGCTGGTTTTGTAAGAGCATCCTCGTTCTCTGAGTCAGCCGTGGAACCCATCCAATTGAATTCCTATGCAAACGAGTTTTCTGCCGTCACCATACCACGGAACATGCTGTCATCCGCTATTTACGAAAAGCAAACACAATTGCATGCGGTCTTGGCGATTACTGATATGTACGCGGGTCCATTTGCGATCGCTATCTGTATGCCCACCGGTTTCCTGGCAGAGCAGGCATGTATTGTGGGCAAGTCGACGGCCGGTGCGCTTCGCGCCAAGCGACCGGTCGACAGGGACTGCGCAGTTTCCGTTGGCCTGTGCTTGACAGTCTTGATGGGCCCACATTCGCAGAGAAGAGTGGCGGTTTCACGCAAAGGAGTTGGCATTCGAGGCAGATTTTATCAATCACTAAATGTGTGGATTGCTGTGGAACCCCGGAAATGTCTTGGTTAAAGCAGATATCATTTTCTGTCTTTTTTTGCAACAAGATGTCGCGCTGCATTTTACCACCCGAAGCGAGTCACGTAACAGTAAAGCAGGTATCGATTAAAGGGAATCTTTCATATTTGAATTTATTCAAGCAGCACCAGGTATGATGGAACAATCTCACTTATAACATGGGCACGCTTCTATTTCAGTAGAAAGCGGTTTTAGACAGCACAATTCTCCATTTAGTAAACATGCTCCTCAATGCATCATGGTTTGATTGCGTCATCGTACCCCGCACAACATTGATTGAGAGCCAGTTAACGCCCTTTATAATTGTAAATCGTGCTCATGAACGCTACATATAAACGTCTCGACAATTATGTTTTTTCTTGGCCTTGATCGCCGTATGGCTTATGGAATGGCCAAATTTGGATGGTCTCAGGAGTGTGTGGACAAATCTGTACACTTTTCGTCTACCTGCAAATGAAACCCTAGCGCGTTGTTAAAAGTAATGGAAAAAATCTACCGGCAAATTGCGAAGTTACACGCTGAAAATTCATTAGCGCAGCCAGCGTCCAAGCGTGAGAATAAACGCTAATGTATTCCCGGTACGTCTGCAGCAATGGATTTTTACTGACCACACGGCGACATTTTTGTGCATGCTGTTGTGCTTTATAATGTAAAGGTTATGCTGGGTCACAGAGGTCCGTTCAAGTCGAGTTCACAATAGCTCAATAGGACCAATCTTGGTCAACCCCACGTTTGTCACGAACACGAATACTGATAGGTGAATCATGCCATTTTGCTAAATTGCTCCTACACACAGCGACAATTGGTGCATTTTGCACTTGTGAAGCAGAACGTTTGTATTTTTCATCCATTACACCGTTGACGCACTTCAGCTGTTGCTTCAGAAACTCTATTGCGCCCGGCCGCCCTCCCGCACGGCCGGTCAGCCAATTGGCCAACTATCTGTCCCACTCTGGAATCGGGTGGCGCCCGATCCGTTTCACCGCGAAAATGTTGGCTTGGGGTCACCAGCTTTAAGCAAAACGTATTTTTCCTGTAGTACCCAACCACTGGAAGTTTCATCATGCGTTTTCTGACGGTTCTTGAGATAGCGGGGCGGTGTGATCTGCCCCCCCCCCCCCCTCCCCTCCTCCCTCTCCCTCCACCGCGCACAATTTCCGGAGGCCTTCCGCTGCATGTGTTAAACGCATCGACGCTCCTGACGCGTGGCCCGAGTGGCAGCGGAGGGCCTGACCCGAGCGTGCGCCTCCTCTGCCCTGCAGGTCATGGAAAGGGTGAACCGGACGCTGGCCTCCCGTGTGAGGGGTCAGCTCAGCTCGGAGGCCAAGCAGCAGGCGCTCTTCAGCCTGTTGGGCAAGGAGTTTGTGCGACAGCACTTCCCGCACCACAAGTACAGCCCGCAACTGCTGGTGAGACCGCCTACGACATAGGCGTGATTCAACCATTGTATGCCTTCTTATGATACAGTCCAAGCATTCTGATCGCGTATATTTCTGGGATCAGTGCTCATGCTAAGCGGTGCTTGTTGCGTGAGCCATGACCCCACCACCGAAAACCAAATACAGGTCAACGACAGAATTTTGCAAAGAAAGCGTACCGTACCACAACGCTCGGCCCGGCCCGTCCTGCCCGCTGACGTCACCCAGCCACGGGCACGACCATGAGCAGGGCCGCTGCCACCGGCCGCAGGCGATTCCAGTCAATGGTAAAAAGTTATCGTCTGAGGGGGCTTGAACACACCCCGCTTTAGAATCAGAAGGCGAGTCCCCTGATCAACTCAACCATCTGCGCGGTCTTTTCTGATCCATTTTGGATGGAAGCTTCTCCAGATGATATAGTTAACATCTTGACTTTGCCTTGGCTTAGAGCATACGCAGACACCAGTCAGGGAGTATCGACTCCGCGATTTTTTACACGCTTCGTAGGGAGTAGTTTCCTGGTGTAACTTGTCATAGCCATGTATCGTCCTTCTCCCTTCTGTAAGTGGTTTAGGGTTGCGCCATTTACTTCCCGTGATTGATTACTGGCATAGGCAAAGAACACCTATCTAGCACTCATTTTATGGTGAACTATATTATGTGCTTACGATGTCGTGGCGAGCTATTATGTGTTTCCCTTTAATGGTGCTACGTATGTACAGGTCACGGAGTTCTAACCATACTAACGCGATTGTTATGCAACCAGTACGCGTCGCATCTGGCGCTGTAAGTTGGAGTACCAATGTCGGCATTGGCTCGTTTCGACTTGGATAAAAACGGTAGTCGGACTGGCGAAAGCGCAAATGGATGTGTGCGATGTATGCGCACTTGTGCAAACGAACCGACCCGGCGTTTTTGGGGCGCTCTTCAAAACTGACGTCGGGTCTCAGCGGCCCGGTTCGGTAACGGCGTGAAATCGACTCGGCTTTGTGAGCCGTCTTGAATACAGCACGTTCGCGTCAAACCGAGTAAGCTGGGGCAATGCAGATAACGCAGGCCCAATTCACCCAAGTACAGAGTGTACCCAAAATATTTGCGTATTTCGGAGACCTTGATCCACAATTACCTGAAGCATCAATCGCTTCAGACTAATTTCATCAGCGCAAAAGGCCTCGCCAGCACAGTGTTCTGCCGCTGACCTTGCGTTGGCATTGAAGTGGCGTATTTCTGCAAGCAGCTCCCCGAGCGGTGGACATTCAGGCGATTGGATGGGCATTCGGCAGCCGGGCCCCGTAGATACACGGGACCAAAACAGCTCAACTGAGATAAAAACATGCAGTCGTGCTAGCACACGCATGTTGTCATAAGTGCGAGTGGCTATACGCTGTCAAGCGCAATATATGGAGTGGTCAGTCCTCTTGCATATCGTGTGGGATGTCAGAAGCGGTGTGAGGTAGGAATGCCAGTTTTCGGTGTGAGGTAGCAGACCATGAACGTCGCTCGAAACTGGTTAAAGGAAATGTTCCATATTTATATGAGGCTTTGAAATTAATTAGCGATATTGAAGAAATTTCAGTGCTGTTCACAATCCTGCCCTTCTTAAGACCTAAGCCCCTCTAGTTTCTGTGCTACACGCTCGCGAAAATGAGGAAAGTTATATCGGAGAGAGTATCTTACAAAGTCACACTGGCATTCATGACGTGACAATAACGTTATTCATGTCATGTCATTCCATAAGACGGGTGATGATCAAGGCCAAGAAACATATAATCGTCAAGTCGCTCATATTTGGCGTTCGTGAGCTTGAATTCCAGACATACTAGTCGTGAATAACTGGCCGTCAATTGGCTCTCAATCAATGTTGTGAAAGGTACGATGACGTCATCAAACGATGACGTTTCGAAAGCATATTTACTAAACAGAGAAACTGTGTTGTCTAGAGCAGTGTTCTCTACTTAAAATATACCAATAGTTATAAGTTAGCTGTTTTCATCATATCTGATGCTTGCCTGGATATCTTTAAATGTGAAACATTCCTTTTAAGTCTGCCGTTTTATGTTAGTGAGCGTACGTGGGCGCGACACCGTTTACACGAAGTCGGATCTATAGTGTTACCTTCGACGTGATGTCATTACAGAAATCGACCAGGCGTTAAGAAACATTGCACAGCAAACACCTAAACTGTAACTGACGTCCCCAATCCCACGCTAAAAACAACCCTAGAGTTTAAGCATATGGGCGGAAGGCGTATGAGGAGCGTACACTTATTGCAAGTTAATACAATACTACAATGAAGAATGGGCGGGTAAGAACAATTAACTCAGCTGTTTTTGGCTGTATTGCATTTTCTCACAGTCCATCCACGGGGTGACTTCAGTCTCTGGTTCTTTACAACGTCCGGAACTTTCGGTCCGGGACAACACCATGGTGTGATTGTATTTAAATACGCACGATGTGGAAACAATAAACCTAGAACGACGATAACCAAATTTGAAACAAAAGAAAGTGGTCAAGCGCATGCACATAAATAAATGAATACAAAGTGCAAGTGCATGGGGACCACATTGACATACAGAACTGCACCTACACGAGCGTACAGTAGCTCAGCTCTCTAGCACGGGCTCTTGACCCTTGTGCACATGTAGCGGTTATCGGAGGCAGGTGGTTCGAGTTGCCCCGGCATGACAAGGAGAGGCCCGGTTGATGACCTCCAGTCGGCAGCTAGGCAGGTAAAGAGACATCGCCATGGAGGGCCGCATCTCCCCTAAAGGGACAGGGGGCTGAACAGGGATGGAGCACCAGGTGGTCATTTCTCGTATCTGAACGCTTTAAACAGTTTGAGCACGTCTGTTCCCTCCATCAAGTTCAGTACGCAGTGGAACATCGGGTATAAAGTGAATCCGGGGTCAGCCTAGAGATTCTCGATACGGTGGCATGTGTTGGCCACGTCTGTTGCCAAAGACAATCCTGGTGGCAAAACTCATAAATTTTGAATTTTCTACATGTGTAACTTGGGACAGCATGTTATATGCGGCAAGACGATAATCTTGAGAACATTAGGTGTAACGTAATGTACGAGGCGGTACAACAAGGCTAGATTCTCGTTGCATTTTTGCGCGACTCTGGCGACGTTCGTATCCCACGAAAGCGTTGAGTCCACGATCACACCGATAAATGTTATGTGCTGTGAAAGTGTGACAGTCTCCATCTTCCATGTTGAGTGGAAATCACAGCTTTTCTTTCAATTGTGTTTAAAATCTTTGAGAACATAGGTGCATTTCTTTGCTCATTTTAGGAGATTTTGCGCTGACGAGACCTGGCAGTTGGCAAATTGACAATCCGGGCGGCTTTGTAGTGCACGGAGAGTCAGCTTATTGGAGAGCATGGAGCTTGTTTGAAGAGCATGGTCCAAGAGCTGGCTTTCATCTGCATATGAGATGAGCCGGTCATGTGACACGTGACTGTACAAGCCATTTGTGAACTAGGTAAACAAGAACAGACCGACTACGAATCCCTGGGGTACTCCGTTGGCTTCCGTAAGGCCATCGGTCCTCCACGCACCACCTGCCTCCGACCACTCAAATAGCTCTCAACTAGTCAGGGTCCACGCCGTGCCCCTAAAGCTTTGTTTTCAGCAGATCATAATCAACACTGTCAGAGGCTTTCGACAGGTCGACGGCTGTTATGAGCAATATTTCTTCGCTATCGATGTACCTCACTAGCTCGGCGATAACGTTGAGCACAGTGTCCCCAGTGCCGCAACCTTTTCCGTAGGCGTATTAGGCATGGCTGAGAATACCACTGCAATGACAATGCGTGCTGAAATGGTCACAAAGGACTTTTTCATGACTTTTGTATAGTACATTTATGAGAAACGTGGATTTGTAGTTAACTCATACAGTCGAATCACCTGGTTCCAGGATGAGCACACTGTCCGCGATTTTCCACTCGTCGGTAAGACCTGAGTCGCAAGTGAGCAATTGATGATCTGCATATGGTCCGCAAATCACTACCATCGGTGATCCGCGAATGATTACGACACCTACCGCTCGCGAACTGCTCACGCGTCGGATCTACGAGGATAGTTCAGGGAAAGCTATGAACTTGAAAGTGCATTAGGTCGCGCAGACCTCGGCGGTCCGGGGGACTGCCGCGTGCTGTTCCTCACCGTGGCAGCTATTCGGACCCCAACCGTCGCAAAGTGACGGTTGAATTCGTCAGCCAGGTCAGAGTTTCCTCCTCACGTATCGTCCCGGATTATTGGTGACGTCATGGCGAATCCATTTAAGGTAGACATAATAATTGCGCTGGCCACCAGAAGTCACCACACCTCAGAGAGAATCACGTCTGGCACCTATCATGGCACACTTCACGCTGTTCGAAGTCGCGTGAAGTCCGAACAATACTCTGGGGCGCGCAGAGCCAGCCAGGCATCCCTCGCCGCCCCTCGCTCGGCCATCAGGGTCTGGAGATGCGGGTGATCACGCAGCCGCCTAGGACAGCTGGGGCGTCTCGCGCGACCTGTTGTGTACGAGGCAGTGACGAGCCGTAGCACCTTTCCTTCTTTATGGATGATTTTCTCTCTTGCATTCATATCATTGGTATCGTGCAGCTCCCCAATCAGCGGCCAGCAGGTCCAGACAGATGTCGTCCCAGTCAGTCCGTTGCCGGCTGCCGGTGGTGTGCTCGAGGTATTGAGGGACGTATGTCTATTGAGCTACATGTATTTTTGCAACAGAGGCAGTCTATGTGGGTTAGTCTACAACTCAAAGGCCATTCAATAAAGCTGCTGAAATATGGGAGTATGATACCGCATCTAGGTTTTGTCTTTCAAAATTTTACACCCAAGAATCTTTGAAAAGAAAGACCATTGGCGGACTTGCGAAATGAGAACAACCGGCCGGCATAAAGAAACTTTCAAGGAATTTAGTAGCCCTGCTATTCCTGTTTGCATGCATGCATACCAGTAAAATTTGTGTTAATGTCATGTG